GTATTATTATAGTGATCAATAACACGAGAAGCGCAACATGTGTTCAAAGAAACGAATATTCATGCATTATTATTATTTTGATGGACTGTAAATTCACCATTATGTCATAGTTCTTTGTCCACCCGCCACTGCATAAGTATGCGAGCAAAATGTGACTGCCGTGACCGTGACTCTTAACGTATTATGGACGTGATGAGTGATAATAATAATATTATTATATTATATTCAATAKAAATGGATTTACCACCTATTTACGATTTTTGACAGTATCAATGTATCATCTATATTCTTCCAATGCTTTTTAAGACACAAATAATGACAATAWTATATTATTATACATTCAATTTTCGGTCATAAATAACTATATATTATCTATATTTGTTTCTAATGCAATAAGATAGGTATATGGTTTTTTTTATACCTATTTTATGCTATCAAAATTTAAAATCATCTATGCAAAACAAGGATTTCTTTTAGCCTTCATCATTATTTCATAAGGTTTTCTATTTATTCGAATCCAAGCTGATGAAAACTGGTGGATAAGTAGATGATTAGATGATAATATACATTACCACCACCATATAGTACATTTATGTTAACATTAAAATTTTATTAATTTTGTACATTGAACTAATTTTTGCGAAAAATATAATATTAAATAATACCAACGAACTAAATGGTTCAGTTAAAAAAAAAAAAACACTATAACATGCAAATAAGAATAAAATATATTTTAACCAATTAAAAATAAACAGATTAAAGTTGGRATTCTTCGTTGTTAACTTTAAAGATGTTTATACTTAAAAAATGAGAAATTATATTTTGATAACTTAAAACTTGTATAATAACAAACTGTGGAATATTAAAAACTTATCCTATTATTTAATTTTTTGGTAACCCTTTACCGAGAAACAACAATTTTATCTACATAAATMGAAAATAGAAAAAAATCCAATATTTCAAATGCCATTAATATTTAATAATATATGGAAAATACTAAATTAAATATTGGTGAAAATGTTGAGTCTCTAGTAATCCTTTCCAAATTAAAACAGAAGAACAAAATCGATTTTGTCAAAAACTGGTGTTGTGTAATAAATTACTCCAGTATTTCCAATGTTTTTATTTAGTTTTCTCGATTATTAAAAAATTTAATACTGGGGTTTTCTATAAATGATCTCTAATGTAGATCGAATTCTAATGATTGAAATTAGATAATAAAAATAAATCTTTTGCTGATAAAAAAAAATCAATAATAAAACATATTATATTAATGTAAAACCAATACATTCTTAGCTCCACCCATAAATCAAAATCTAAAATAATGAAACACATTTATTTGTTAACTATTAAGTATTTGATCGTTGTTCATAGAAATAGACATTCTTCAATTGTACTTCTATACTTGTCTTTATAAGACAGTAAAATACACATTTAGTTGGTACCTAGATACTTAGATAAGACAAAACTTATATTATGTCAATACATATTTAAATTTGTGCAGGAATATAATTAAAACATTCTACTAAACAATTTAACATATTATGATGCAGTAGGTATAGTTTTTTAATTAGAAGTACACAATACATACATGATATATAATTTTTTGTATATATTATTATATATATTTTATGACTAGGTGGAACTATAGGGAGGTTATTGTATACTAAGGCCATGATTAGTGGATTTATGTAATTTTAGAACCGATTTCTAAATTATTATAATCCTTATTGCAACTTAACCCTATAAATTACAATGCATAGTGTTGCTTGTGAGCAAAAATGTTTAGAAATGTATAATAGAATCTTATATCTGAAATACCAACTTAATTTATAGTGTGTGAGAAAGTATCCATATGGAGAGTTTCGTTCCAACGATTTCAAAGGTTTTGTTTTTACGTAAAAATTAATATCTACTGACATTATTATTAAAATTAGTAATAGGCACTTTTTAGTATTTATGTTATTCATTATTATACTTTAATTAATAATTATAGATTACTATAATCTTTCATTTGTTCTTAATCTCTATTTAAAAATATAAAAATGTCTGTCATCAGTCAACATTGACTTTTATTCATCAAAAGTAATTCTTTATTAATGTCACTAAAATTATATTATAACTATATAGATTATAGATACTTAAGAGACAATTGATTGACACAYTTCTCCCACATTGTTAATAATATTATACATTTTTATACAATAATTAAATTTACTTTAAAATAATATGGTTTTTGTATTTTAAATTAAATATATGTAGAGTGATATAGTATAAATAAGATGAAAAAATAATGGCTTTAAGTCATAGTAACAGTTTACGTTTAAAATTATTTTGAAACTTATTGAAATAATTTTCTGTGGAAGTGACCAGACTAGTGACCCGAATTATACTATACGGCAATATATAAATATTTTACGAATATAAATGTTAATTGAATAAAAAACTACTTAAGTTTATTTTGGATATTCGATGTCTCATACATATTAGCTAAATAAATATTCTAAGATTTCTTTTGGCGTAATCAGGTTCCTACCAAGTATACGTAGTGAAATTATTATTATTTTCCGATTATACTTATAAAGCGAGGCCTATACGTCGTTTTGAATAATGTGTTGTTTTTGAAGTGAACCGGTTTGTTTTTAATAAATAAAATTAATAAAAAACAAGACGTGAAAGTCTTAAAATTCTAATGTTATTATACTATGTTTAAATTTTAAGTTCAAACCATCAAAGGGTCACCAATTTCTAACTTTATTACTGTAGAATTAATAATAGTAAGTAACTATGCAAGGTCCTTATAATCTCTGTKCAATACACTTCCTATTTTTTTAAATTATAAATGGTTTATTTTATATAACTGCCAACAGTAGTACTGTATATAATGATATCATTCCTGATCAATTTCATTGCAACTAATAACATTTAGATCCGTAGTTTGATACGATTATGTATGTATAGACTATATAATATCATACATGTATTTATTTTATTTTGGTTAGATTCGTTTAAATTTTTCAACAAAAAATAATTAGTTTGTACTTTAGAACTCGAGTCCAATTAGAATGATATTAATATATTGATAGAAGTGTAAATAACTTACATCCTGCAGATCATGCTTCACGGAGCCAATTATGTAGAGGCTCCGCAAATAAATATCCACATTAAATCATGATTTATCATTTTATCCGTTTAAAATTTACATTTATAGTTTTTGGGGCTTTTAGCTATTTAAAGGTTCTACAAAAGTACAAACAAATACATTTTGGTTACCGCTAGCATATACCTACCGTTAATTAGTATACTATATTGTAGTATAACCATTAATTACTTTCTAGTTCCATGTTGATACAGTAAACACTATGTATATCTGTACTTRCTTGTGGGTTGGTCGTGAATAGGTATAGGCTAGTTGGAGGRTGCGGGTGCTTTGCTTTAATAATAATAACTATGCCATAGGTAGGCCGGTAGGCGTTTCAAAAGACACCGGCGCCTCCGGGTATCAGAATATTATGTAAACACGTGCTAGTGTGCTGTAGGTGATGGAATATACATGTGATGCGTATTAATTCGGTTAGAACGACACCCTAAACTCTCACTAAAAGGGTTTCGAAATATGGTAAACGTACCTATACATATTTTTAAAGTGTATTTATATAGTTGTCGAAGTGATGGCTACAAGTTTTATGATACACTCAAGACATATTATGTATACAACGTATATTATGTACAACACACCGACTACCCCGTCGTCACCACCCAATAAGGGATTAGAAAAACGTGAACAACACTATACAATGAGCGTCACGACGGTTGTTGGTGCTAATAAATTGTTGGTAACCGTTATATTATTATAATGTGGTTCGCATAAATACGTGTAAGAGAGAAATAGAAAAGAATGTGGCTATACCATAATATTTATAACAGTAGGTATCTACATAGTATATTAAGTATGAGCTAAGATTTATTTATTATGCAATATAAAATAGTAAGATATGTTAAAAATTTTGTTAAAGTATATGCTAAGATATACGATGAAAATAAACGACGAGCTTATACCACTACATATTTCAAACTATCATCATGCGAATAATTTTAAAATAGATCAAATAAAGTTACATTTTATGTATACAAGCTAAATCTGTCTTATTGGTTGCCCTTTTTGTTAATAAATCCACATACCATTTAAAATTTTTTTTGCCGATGCCACGAATAGAAAAGATTTTATAAAATCAACATTTACAGCGTAATATATATATGCACAATATGACGCAACGATGCGCAGTGTCATCTACCTTTTTTCACTACTTTCGTTTAAATATATACCATAAACACGTGCATTTTCCAACTACATATAATAAGTGTAGTAAAAATACGTAAAATAAAAATAAAAATAATTTACATCCACATTTTATCATGAGGCAATTTAAGGACATCATAAATGATCAGCACATTTCAGCAAATCTTTATTCCTATATAGTTCCTTGGTTAATCATTATTTTTAAGGCTATGGATTTGAAGAAAAATTCAATATTTTTAACATATAGTTACTATAATACATACGCTACGTTGACAAAAAGCTTGATAATTGGGCGTTAATGAATTCAAATTTTGATTTATTGTGTCTTTTTAAATAATTTTTCCAATTTTAATACTTTTTCGATATTTTTAATAATTTAAGTTAATTATAACTTTTTACGTATTTCCAATATTACTAAAAATATTATTATTTTAATTTTCATGTTATAAATATTTTACACGATCTGAACGCACATTGAACTCGATTAATATTTATTTTTAAATATTTTACATTTTTTAAATTATGAATCTCGCGTAACTTATTTACTGGCTACTGTAGTACATTATTATATAATATATTGAATTTTTGAGATTTTAGTATATTTATCAGGGTTTTTAATGCAATAAATTGCACACAGCCCTAAAGTTTTTATTTGAGTACCTACAGTATTTGCTACAAGAATATCGTTAATGTAAGGCCGTTAAGTGCTGTACTCACTCATCATTTGCATTACGAGCAGAATACTGAATCCGAACATTATGGACAACAGGTGCAAGAATCCTGACTGTTTGTGCCTGGCGAGCACTTCGAAGAATACGACGTACAGCAGCGTGCCGGCGGCTAGTCCCTGCAGGATGACGGCCACGCGTCCCGGAGAACCGTCCACGGCACCGCCAGTGCCACACTGTACCAGTACCATGCCGATCACAATGCCCACGGGCGTGACGACGGCGAACGTGGCCACGTACATGACGAGCACGGGCCGCCGGGTCTTGGACCAGGCCAGTTCCAGGCCTATGCAGAAGGCGATGACCAGCTTGTGCGTGGCCACGGCGATAAACAGGTACCACATGTTGTCGACGCGCTCCTCCAGCCCTATGGCCAAGCCTTCGAACACCTCGTGAAACGAAAGCGCCAGCACAGCGAACAGTCCGCGGAACGAATGGTCACCATCGACGCCCCCGGGCCCGCCGCCGCTTTGCAGCTTCATTTGTTTTTCGGTGTCATCGTCGTCGACTCGTTGCTGGTGATGCGTGAACCGAATGGACGACGGTGCCGTGCCACCGGACTCCCAGGCCGCCGGTCGATACCGCTTGTCGTGTGGCTTACAAGACAACTCGTTTTGCAGCAACTCCTTGTTGCTGGTCACCGACATGCCACCCGTCACCGACGGAACGGAGCTGGGCGAGCCACCACTGCCGGCCAGTGAGGCTCTCGGTATGGACATGGTCCGCCGCCTCAAACTCATCGACCGGTGCAGCACCTCCTCGGCGGAGCTGCGGTCCACGTGGCTGGCCGCGCATCGGTCCAGCACCGAGTGCACGATTTCGTCCACGATGAACACCATGAAAAATCCGGCGCAGAATATCAGGTCTCCCAGGTGCTCGGTGCCCTGTCCGTTGGGCAGCTGTCCGGACTTTTGTAACCGGCCGACGCCCTCCCGGACTTCAGGCTGCAGGTGCAGCAGCGTGGTGAACAACAGCACGCCGCCACCGAAGCACAGCAGCAGCGACACGGCCGGCGARCCCGTGGCCGAGTCACCTCCGTGCGAGTGACCGCCGGTTTGGTGTGACGGCGCGGCGGCCGCGGGATCCATCCGCCACCACTTGGTCAGCTTCAGGGGCACAACGCCCAGCACGAACGAGCCCAGGCCCAGGACGAGCATGGCGAACGTCTTGGCCACRATTATCTGGTCGACGAGCGCCGATGTACTGGTCGCCGTCGCGTCGTCCGACACTATTACCGTCTCAGCCATGATGTCGCCCGCGCTATTTATTATACTATTGTCAAAAGCACTATAGGTATTATAATATTTTAAAATTGATATTACCGCCGCGCTATTATATAAAATAATATGTCGCCGTTGTTTTTGTTATTAGCTCGTTAAGCGTATTATATTATGTTTGCTATTATAATACGTGCCGGCGAACTACTCAAAAATACGAAATATAATAATAGTCGTAACGTGCATCTGCGCGGGCGCGCGCGCCTACTACTCCGCGCAGTGAAACACTTAGCACTTAGCAGCGGTCAAACGCAGTGACGACTGCAGCACCGATGACGATCCCGTGCACCACCCGAAACGATGACCGTCGGCGAACGCATAGCACGGCACCAGTCACAGCACTGAGCGGACACCTCAAAACGCGGACGCCGTTTACTGCGTGTGTGCGGTGTGCGACTACGACCTACGTCCGAAACTCCGAACGCCGAGAATCGCGTCGTGGTGGCGTCTACGACGACGGCGGCGAGCGACCACCCCACCACCACAACCACGTCATTAGTCACTACCGCCGCCGACGCTACACATCGCGGTGTACCACTTCCACTCTTACAACAACAACAATAACAACAACAACACACACACGATGATCATACCTATATTATTATTATTATTATTATTTTCATGTTATACCACACCATACGAAAAGGAAGTTTCCGCGTCTTTCTCTCGCCGTCGCTCACGTGCACATATTATAATTAATAACTACAAACAAGCTTAAAACTACTGTTGTTGCGTTGTTGTTGTTGTTGATGTCGATCATGAGAGAGCCGACTCGTATGGACCGAGTAAAACGTTTGAGCGCGTGTCGAAGATGACGCACGATCCGGCGGATAAAATAATATAACATAATTATAGGTAATATTGCTGCAATATTGTTTACCATCGTTCGTACGTAGGTAGGGAGTAAACAATAATATATTATGACACGTGCCATAAAAATACAAKCCCGGATTATAAGACACGTCTAGGCCCTATAGGAACCGAATTTAAAATAAACGACGACAAAAAGAATTAAATTTTAAATTTTATTTTAACTATGTACAAGTATGGTTTTATCAATATAAGTAGATATAATTACTTTTTTAAAAAACCTCCTTATATTAAAAATATTTTCTCGGTTTTAATTTTCCAAATTCAGTCATAATTTGATCACAATATATTGTATATATTATCTGTAAATTATAATACATAACYTTTAGATGAGAATGATAACGCATTTTCAGGATTGACACTGCTTCCTACTTCCAGTTCCAACGAATCTTATAATTTGTATCTTTCACTAAAAACTTTCTATTACAATAATATATAAATATTATTAGATACTACGACTAGGACCAATATTTTTTTAACACAAAAAAATGTCATGCCTTTGTTTTCGTATAAAAAAAAGTGGATGTCGCTCTGCTGTACAGTTGGTTACAAGTGGGTTACTGTAATGGATGGAATTAAATTTGAATCCAATGATATATTATATCATTGTGTACGAAAAACGATTCTGAGCGGAAACGGTTTATCTGTCTAGGATATATTATAGATTATTAAAAATTTTGTTGTCAAAATTCAAACTTTGAATGCTAAAAAATTGTGACTATATATTTCTTTTATTTTTCAACTGCTATTGTAAAAATATGTTAGGAGCCTTGTATTTAAATTTCAAATCTAAGATTTAAAAAGAAAAACTTTTATGAATTTCTAGCATAAAATAATTTGCGAATTTTCGTGATTTTTACGTATGTTGTCAAAATTTGAACTTTAAATGCTAATAAAAAAAATCATGTCTATRTATTTTTAATATTTATCAACTGCTATTGTTGCAATGTGTTCGAAACCCTGTATTAAATGTTCAAGCTTTTTTACCCAACAAATAAATTTTTATCGATATTTATA